AGTGTGAGTGTGAATGCATGTGAATGTGAGTGTGAGTGAAGAGTGAGGTGTGAGCGTGTGTGAGTGAGTGAGACTAGTGAGAGTGAGAGAGTGAGCATCTGAGAGCACTTAGCGCTGTGCCTGCCACGAAATCTGCACTTCGAGGTTCACCCAGCGCTGTGCCTGCCACGGAATCTGCAGTTCGAGGTTCACCAAGCGCTGTGCCTGCCACAAAATCTGCGCTTCGAGGTTCACCAAGCGCTGTACCTGCCACGAAATCTGCACTTCGAGGTTCAACAAGTGCTGCGCCTGCCACGAGATCTGCACTTTGAGGTTCACAAAATGCTGCGCCTGCCACGGCCACGAAATCTGCACTTCGAGGTTCACAAAGTGCTGCGCCTGCCACAAAATCTGCACATCGAGGTTCACAAAGCGCTGTACCTGCCACGAAATCTGCAAACGAGCCACATGTCCAAAAGTCACGATCCAGTGCACCCTTGGAACAAGTGGGCAGGAGTCCGGCAGTACGGCCTCGGCCACTTTAAATGAGCTGCCAGAAGTCACGGGACTCTGAGGCTTCAATGCAAAGCTCTAGGACTTTGTGGTATTCTCCAGCGGACCCTGAATTCTTCCAGCTGGTTCAGGCGTTGTTCCACGGTCATCGCTTTCGGCGCACTCTGGCTCGTTTTTGAACACAATTTGGCCCATGCTCCGACGGGTGTCCTGAACAGCATGCGCACAGAAACTTCTACGGAGAGACGCAGCAGCGTCCTGCGTTTCGTGTCTGCGATATCCACGGTTGACCGAACGTAAGCGCAAGTCTGTCAAAAAAACACTCGTCTCGCCCAACGTGTGGCACGGAAAATTGATTATCCTGTGAGGTGTGGGTTGAGAAGGGAAAAATCAAATAAACCAAAATCTATAAAAAGCAGATTGACCTCAGATAAAGTCTGACTCGATAGAGGTAGGTGCCATGTGTCTTACCCACCACGGTCCCAGCGCAATGACTATCCTGTTTAAGAAAATTAAGGAAGCGTGCAGTCTGTTTACGGCACAAGGCTAAGAACCCACAAAAGTTAACGATAGAACAAAGCAGCTACCATGGCATAAAGTTGGTCAAAACAGAAATCTCCCCAGGGGCCTCAATAAACAACATTTTGTCCGGTCGCCGATGGAACGACGGGAGAGTAGACGACTAAGAAAGCGAAGGAGAGGGAGAGGGGCAAGGACGAGGGAGAGAAGCAGGAAGAGGTGGTCCTGAAGAACTGAAGGAAGACGACAGTATGTGGTTGGCGACAAGCGCGTACATACTGCCACAAGGGCCGCAGGTCTCCCGACAAGCGGGACCTGGGCTTAACGTTTACAGGACTTCTCATGGACGATCCTGCTGCCGAAGGAGGAGAACTTGGTGGAGCAGCGTTGACAGGTCAGATTGGCCGCCAAAGAGCCACGGCCGACGTCTTCGTGTTTGACTCTAGCCGCGACAGTCTGGTGGGTGGAAGAGCATTTCTAACAGGTACGGCCTTGACACTACCGCGACACACAGCAGAGTGTTGATCCTTGGAGGAAACAGCGCACCTGGAAGAGCGCTGAGGACACTTCCACATACTTTTAGTGGGCGGAAGGGTGTCGGGGGCCAAAGCTTGACACTTGGCACGGCGTTGCCAGATAACATCGTCAGAAGCGGAGAGTTCAAATTGATGCGAGCACATCGGGCAGATGCGAGTGTCGGCGTCTGAGCCGCGACATATTTTTTCATGTTTCGAGCGGAATTCTCTGGCATGGTGCGGTTGCTTGCGACCAGCGGAGAGTAGACGCCAAGCGAAGGCTTTGCCGCAGCCTCGTCGACACGGGATAATAGCAGCCGGGGGCTGCCGGGGCCTTTACAGTATGCTTCGTGGCCGGCCAGCTGGCGTGCGTGAGAAGCACCCGTAAAGACACGGCCGCAGCGCCAGCAGGAATCTGTGAGGAGTGGGTCAACTGGTTCAGGGGCGCCGCGGGGCGCCCATGGGCAGCAGCCAGCGGGCGCAGTGTCGAGTCTGTTTGCCCGCGGCGCCTTGCTCTGCCAAATGATCGGCATAATCGTTGCCCAAATTCCCAGAATGTCCCCGGACCTTAGCCCAGCAAATGAGACGTTTGGCCTTGGCGCGCTCCAAGACACGCTGACCTTCTTCAATGAGCTCCTGGTTGGCCGTCGGTGTAGCGGTACCAGTTAGGACATCATGCGAATAGGTGAAGTCAAACAAGATCATGGCCGGAAGGTCCGGCGCGCCAGGGGCTTCTTGTTCCAACCACAGCAGAGCCTCAACCATAGCAGTGAGCTCGCCAGTGTTGTTGGTGGCGACAGAAGCGCCCGGCCATCTCTTATCTCTCGGGTCCAAGGGAACAGGTCCGAACAGTTCAAAGTCTGGGAGAAGAGATTTGGCAGCCGATTCCCAGATAGCGACGCCCCAACCTGCGTGGGCACCTGGCTGAGGGACCGGCACCGTCGGTGTATAGAGCCCACCCCGCAATCTCTTCGTCAGGAAGACGAGACAAAACCTCAATTTGCTCTGGCACCGGCTGAAGGTCAGAGACATGGTGAGGAAAAGCTGCACAACGGTGGCTCCGCGCATCAAGGGCAGTAACAAAGACCTGATTGCAGGTGGTGCATTGGGAGTGGAAGACCGTGGTGACAGAGGCATCGTGGGGAATGTGAGAGCCATCGTAGTGAGAACGTAAGCCTTTGCCTGTGGTCGCAACAAAGGAGCAGGCCGGGCATGGCCA